AAAATCAAGCAGCGATATGAAGCACGTCCGTTACCCATAATTACCATAATTACCTACACCTACCTACACCTAATTACCTATAAACCTGTGAAGAAGGGGATGAAAAGGTTATCTAGAAATTCTCTTGGATGCCTGCATCGTTAAAATTAAAAAAAAAAAAAACTTTTCTTCCGCTACACAATTTTGATGAGAATTCTAAAGTTATTTGATAAAAAGATAATTTAGTTTTTATAAACTGAGCTGCAGATGTAAATTGGCTACCGTAAAATAGTTCCTACTGCTGACTTTCCGAACGTTAGCCCTCCGTCACGGCGAAGGAGAAATAGGTTAGTTCTTGAATAATCATTGGATTCAACAGTTCGAGAAAGTTTTCTTTTATCAAAAATATTCAGAGCTTTAGATCTACCCAAATTTCGTGAAAAAATGCTCTTACTGTCAGGTTAAAGGTAGTTTCAACAAACCTGCCCAATGTCGTTGCAAATTAGATGCAGAAGACTTTTTGCTATATCTGCCTCGGCGAACTTGGTAGCTAAACGAAAAGAGATGTCACAAAGAAGTTTTTAGGTAATTTGACAAAAAAGTGTTAATACTAATAGCTTTCCCGTATCAAGTCTGGAAAAAACGCGGGAAACTCGAGTCCAAACCGATCCAAGCGCGGGAAAACAGCCAATCAGTGCTGAAAGCGGGAAATCTTGTAACCTCTTCCTCTTCCTGGGAGGCTGTCTGGTAAATAGGTAATTTAGTGTTAACAACTGAGTTGAGAACGTAAATTGGCCACCATAAAGAGTTAAAAGGCTGAAGTTTCGAGCGTTAGCCCTTCGTCAGAGCGATCGTATTAAATATGCGCTGAAGGCAATAAAGGCAGGCACAAATCGAATAAACGCTCGTTTGACCTGCGCTTGCATTTGTTGAGTTTAGCGGATATTTGCTGCCGAGTCTTTGTAGAGGAGAAGTGTTATTATTGCAGTCAAGTACACGTTTTCCAAGGATATCTTAAAACCATTTCACACGGCGACTTAGCAACAGTTGCCGATCTAAGTGCGATTCACAAACAAGTGATCTAAACTCCAATAAAGTTTGAACAAACCACTATCTTGATCATCTCTCGGTGACCTGACCGTTTTGCCAAAACTACTCGCAGTTAAGTCTCCTGGTAGCTTTAATGCGTCGTAAGCTCCGCCATAGATGTCTCTCACCTACAAAATAATTGTTCATTAAGCCTCAACTAGAAAATTTTTCGCTGAGTGTTGTATGAGGAAAACCAAGGTAAACACTACAGCCGATCAAAACAGAGCTGAGCATTACAATAAACCAATGAGAAAATGCAAGCGATCTCAAGCGCAGGAAAACGCGGATGACCTCATGACGATCGGTTTTAGTTTTGCATCTGATTGGTTGTGGAGATGACACGAGTTTTGTGGGCCCATCGCAAAGCACATAGCTGCAAAATCCTAGCAACTTTCGATACTAAATCAGAAATTTTTCTGTTCCTTGAGAGAAAAGCAACCACGCTGTAAGAAATACAGAAAATACTGCAATTCGTACCAACATGTCCACACTTTGGTGATGGCCTTTGGTTGCAAGCTCTAGTAACTCATCAAAACCCTGCAAATCGAAAGAACGTTATCCAGTATTTATTGATAGTTTTTGTTTCTGTTCAAACAAAACTGAAGAATGGAAAAGACGCCGAACAGAATAAAATTAAAGAACAAAAAGACAAACAAAACAACCAACCAACAAATAATCAAAACAATACAAACGCAGTAAATTGCTAGGACTCGACCCAGACGCCTAACATTTTTTAAGCTAAATCCATTTGCAATAAAATAAATAATTGGGTGGTACATAGTTTAAAAATTAAGTTTCATAAGCTTATTGAATTCAATTCAGCACCGCTCTCTGTCTTATGTTTCGCGGCTATTCAATGCGTGTCTTGTACCTTAGCACTCGTTAGAAGCGAACCCAGGCCCCAAAAGGTTCCTCCGCCCATGCTTGTTCCACCAACTCGTTCATACTTGTTTTCAGACTCTACCTGGAAATACAGATTGAAAACATTTTCACTTGTAAGCAGGTAGTTGTGCAATAAAATACAGTAATGTTTTATCGTATAGCAATGCCAAAAAAACCTTTGCATTTCGCGTTCCGATTCTCAAGAAGTCAAAACTAAATTCTGCATCAGAAATCGTGGATTGTCAGCATCTGAGCAACTTCACACCTACCCCTCCCCTAACCCAACATTAACCCTCACCTGTTATCAGTTGAGTGTTTTTGGGTTAGGGGAGGGGTAGGAAAACAGTTGCTCAGATGCTGACATTGATCCAAAAAGGTTTCCATAGGAATCGGTGTCGATGTTGCGATCGTGTAGCGTCACCTTAAAGGCAAATTACCTTGATTATACTGACTCCAGAGCCAATATTAACCAGAAGGTAAGGAAATATTTCCGAATGATCAAGAACTTGGAAGACATATGGAGGATTCTGGTCCCGATGAAACTCGAACACTTCGTAAGAAATGTTCTTCAGAAGAAAGTTTCCACCTCTGATGAGGCATTCCATCTCGTCCTCTTTGTCAACTCTAACAAATAGAAACTACATTTTAACGGCTTGTAAATAAACAATAGCTTAACTACTGGATAATTTCCTCTCTCTCTCTCTCTCCTTCTTCTGCTCATCTTCACATTGATCCCTCCCCCTTCAATATCTACTCTTCATTCCTTTCCGCTCTTACCTCTTTCCTGCTCAAAGTTACAATCTCCCTCCTTGTCTTCTCCTACTCCTCAAATTTCCTTCTTTCCCTTTCCCATCTTCACACCTCTACCCAAAGCTTCTTCCCCCTTCCATCTCTTTGCCCACCATCATGTTCATCCTTTTCTTTCTATTTCCCTTCTTCCCTGACTTCTATCCTTCTACCTACCATGCATTCTTTCATTCCTCTTTCTCATCCCCCTACCCTTTCCTTCCAACCCATCTTTTCTCATCCCAACCCCTTGCCCACATCCCTGTTCCTCTTCCTTATCTCGCTCTCAAACTTTTACCCATTCAACCAATCTACTCTTACTCCCTCCTATTTTTCTGCTAACTCCCCAGTCCTTCCTCCTCCCCATCCATCTCCTTCCTTCCCCTCTCTCCTTCCCATTCCCTTCCCATTCATCTGTTCACCCTCCCTCCCTCCCTCTGATCCCATTCCCATATTTCCCTTCCTTTCTCCATCCCTTCCCTCCTTCACTTCCTCTCATTCACTTCCTTCCCCTTCACCCATTCTCTCTCTCTTTTTTCACCTATCCTTACTTAATCCAATGTCCCACCTGAGGCCAAGTTTGCTTGTAAGTAAATCCATATATTTGTAAGCTCCACCACCTTAAAGGGAAAAAAGAACAAATATTTGGTCCATTATGTACATAAAGGTGACTTATCAAACTTAACAGGTCTTGTGTGCAGAGAGATAAGAAGTCCATCCCATAAGTATCTGTCACTAGCACATGTGTCTGTTACAATATGTCTTTTTTTAAATTTTTTTTTTATTTTTTAATTTGTTTAAATTTTTGTTGTTGTTGTTTTTTAATTTTATTTTTCTTTAGTAATTAGTCTTTGACACTGATCTTTTTAACAAGGTAAATGATTAAGACAGCTTATTTTGGGGAATCTTATATTCTGTTTTAAGCTGTCATCAAACTGATTGAATTGACTTGGTCAATGTTAAATTAATTTGGAATTTATATTAAAAATTAAAGAAAATGAAGGCAGCCTACCCGTGGCTTTTAAAGCCCTATCTTTGCTGACGGCAGATAGGATGTTTTCTTGAATAAAATTAACACACATCTCTATGTACTTTGTTTCAAACTTGATAAAGTGTAATCTGAGGTTGGACTCTTGGTCATCTTTGATCT